GTGTCTTTCCCCTTAACCCTCCCGCTCCTTCTGCTCCTCCCCCTGCGCAGGGCCCTCTTTGACTATGACAAGATGAAAGACAGCGGCCTGCCCAGCCAGGGGCTCAACTTCCGCTTTGGGGACATCCTCCACGTCCTCAACGCCTCTGACGACGAATGGTGGCAGGCACGGCTGGTGGTCCCAGGCGGAGAGGGCGAGGAGGTCGGCGTCATCCCCAGCAAGCGCAGGTGAGCAGAGGGGCAGCAGAGGGGGCGGGGCTTCACCTGTCCATTGGTGGGGGCGGGGCTGTGGCCCTCCTCCTTGCCTAAGTGAGGTGCTGGCGCCAAGCACCCCAGGACCTTCCTGGGGTGCGGAGAGCAAGCACGGGAGGGCGGCAGGTCTTCCTTGGAGGCGGTGTTGCCCTTGGCCTTGGTACTGCCCTGATGGAAGGTGACCTGCCCTCCCTTCAGTGCCTGGAGGCCCCAGTGGCACCCACGGTTGTCCTTTTCCGTAACTGGCCCAACACGGCTCCCGGGTCCTGGAGCAGCAAATAAGGCCTTTCCTTTCTTCCTCTTTCCTGTCAGGGTTGAGAAGAAAGAGCGCGCTCGGCTCAAGACGGTCAAGTTCAATTCCAAAGGCCGAGGGGAGAAAGGGGTGAGTGAGGCGCACACCTGGCGCCCGTCCCTTTGCTGCCAGAATAACTGTCTCCTGTTAGGGGAAGGGGCATTTACCAGGAAAGGCTTCTGGAAAGACTGTGGAGGGGATTCTGGCCAACCAGTCAGTCAGGTGGGCCTCTCTCGCCATTGACCCCTTGCGCCTTGGAGGGCCCCCGACAGGAGCCCCGTGCCTTTGGTCCCAGGCAGCCCCGTGTCTGCTCAGGGGCCGGAGCACTTTCTCTCCAGAAAAAGCAGGGAGAGGTGTATGAACTTAACTTTTACAGAATAACCTTTAGACATACAGACATCCAGATGCTAGGTAACTACATTGGATTCACAAGCAACTAACTTACAGTCACATTGGATAACAAACAAACAAGGAGAATTGCATGTGTACTCCACATTCACAATCCACCATTCACCTTCATTCCTCCTCATGCATACATCACCAATTCACCGTTCTTCTTCCAGGAAGAACCTCTCTTAGGCCAGACTGCTTGTTTCCTTGCAAATCTACCAATGCATATTTCCAAAACTCCTAAAACGCCAAAATGCATTTTTCCCTAAGCACAGTGCCAAGGACGAGATCCCTGTTTTACTTTATTTATTTATTTATATTCAAACTTATATGCCGCCCCTCCCCTGGGGCTCGGAGCGGCTTACAAGAACAGGCTAAAATCTAACACAATTTAAAAACAATTGAAAGCATTAATGTATTGTCAAAGGCTTTCATGGCCGGAATCCATGGGTTGTTGTAGGTTTTTCCGGGCTATATGGCCATGTTCTGGAGGCAATTTTTCTCCTGACGTTTCGCCTGCATCTATGGCAAGCATCCTCAGAGGTAATGAGAGACCTCACTACCTCTGAGGATGCTTGCCATAGATGCAGGCGAAATGTCAGGAGAGAATGCCTCTAAAACATGACCATATAACCCGGAAAAACCTACAACAACCCAATTGTATGTTTTCCATACAGCAGAACCCGACTCCCTGCAGAACATCCAGAACTCCAAAATTGCATTCCTTGAGAGAAGGACCCCAAGTGAGCAGGCTTCTGCTCTCCGTTGCAGATCTGCCACTCCCAAATACACCATCTCTCTCGAGCATGGCGGGTGGGCCAGACTCCTCCAGTCTGCCACACTTTTTGGATTGTAATAAGGTCTCTTATGTAGCAATATTTCTTCTGACATTGTTTCAGAGTTCTAAATGAGAGATAGGTATTTGGCCAGCTAGAACATGTTGATTCTATCCAGGTCCTGGACAGATGTTGACTTTACTTAATTAGTTTTCCTTCTCAAGGAGCTTTAGAATCATAGAATCAAAGAGTTGGAAGAGACCTCCTGGGCCATCCAGTCCAACCCCATTCTGCCAAGAAGCAGGAATATTGCATTCAAATCACCCCTGACAGATGGCCATCCAGCCTCTGTTTAAAAGCCTCCAAAGAAGGAGCCTCCACCACACTCTGAGGCAGAGAGTTCCACTGCTGAACGGCTCTCACAGTCAGGAAGTTCTTCCTCATGTTCAGATGGAATCTCCTCTCTTGTAGTTTGAAGCCATTGTTCCGCATCCTAGTCTCCAAGGGAAGCAGAAAACAAGCTTGCTCCCTCCTCCTCCCTGTGGCTTCCTCTCACATATTTATCATGGCTATCATGTCTCCTCTCAGCCTTCTCTTCTTCAGGCTAAACATGCCCAGCTCCTTAAGCCGCTCCTCATAGGGCTTGTTCTCCAGACCCTTGATCATTTTAGTCGCCCTCCTCTGGACACATTCCAGCTTATTGTTTATTTATTTATTTATTTGGGGTTCTTTTACCCCACCCTTCTCACCCCGAAGGGGACTCAGGGCGGCTTACAAAAGCAAAGGCACAATTTGATGCCTGCATCATAAAACAATCATACACAAAATTACATCAATACACAGTTAACAACAATTATGCATTATAACCATAAAATCAATAAAACCAAATACAAACCCAATTTCTCCTCTTACATGGTCAGCGTTCGCTACTCATAGATCTAGTTTTACGTTCCACTTAATCAATCCTGCTGGTCTTACTCGCCTGGTTGTCTGATTTAATTGCCGGAGTGCCCAAAGGCCTGGTCCCATAACCAAGTCTTCACCCTTCTCCTAAAGGCGAGGAGGGATGATGATGCCCTGATTTCCCCCGGGAGTGAGTTCCACAGGTGAGGGGCCACCACTGAGAAAGCCCTGCTCATCGTCCCCACCAGCCTCACTTGTGACAGTGGTGGGGTCGAGAGCAGGGCCTCCCCAGACGATCTCAGACTCCGAGGCAGGACGTAGAGAGCTTGTCAATATCTCTCTTGAACTGTGGTGTCCAGAATTGGAGAGAGATATTGACAAGCTGGAATGTTTGTTTGCTTCCTTTGTAATGTAAAAAATCTTGTAAACATTTCCTTAACTCAAAACAGCCATAGTCTCGGATTAATGTAAACACGTTGTTTTCCCCCAGAAGTTCATCAATTAACCATATGTTACAGTTCTTATCAAATCTCAGGAGTTCAGCAAATTTTAATTACAGTTCAGCAAGCAGGCAGATGTTTTCCAGGAATGGTGTCCTCAAAATTCATTCCTTTCATTCAGTTCCATTCAAACCATACATCATATCTCATCAAGACATTGGCGCAAATGTAGGCAATATGGAGGGACGCAAAGTGGGAAACTACATAACTAGATACAGCTCTCCCATCAGTATAACTACACAAAGAGCAGACCTCCTGTGGTTAGGAGCACCATTATTATTGTTGTTATTATTATTACATATTTTAATAATAATAATAATAATAATAATAATAATAATACTTTATTTGTACCCCGCCACCATCTCCCCAAGGGACTCGGTGCGGCTTACATGAGGCCGAGCCCACAACACAATAACAATAAAAATAATAATAATAATAATAATAAATAATAATAATAATAATACTTTATATGTACCCCGCCACCATCTCACAAGGGACTCGGTGCGGCTTACATGAGGCCGAGCCCACAACACAATAACAATAAAAATAATAATAATAATAATAATAATAATAATAATAATAATACTTTATATGTACCCCGCCACCATCTCACAAGGGACTCGGTGCGGCTTACATGAGGCCGAGACCACAACACAATAACAATAAAAATAATAATAATAATAATAATAATTAATAATAATAATAATAATACTTTATATGTACCCCGCCACCATCTCACAAGGGACTCGGTGCGGCTTACATGAGGCCGAGACCACAACACAACAACAACAACAACAAAACAACAATAATAATAATAATAATAATTAATAATAATAATAATAATAATACTTTATATGTACCCCGCCACCATCTCACAAGGGACTCGGTGCGGCTTACATGAGGCTGAGCCCACAACACAATAATTAATGATTAAATAATAATAATAATACTTTATTTATACCCCGCTACCATCTCCCAAGGGACTCAGTGCGGCTTACATGAGGCCGAGCCCACAATATTTATTTTTATTTATTTAGAACTTTTTCATCATCATCATCTTTATTTATATCCCGCTACCATCTCCCAAGGGACTCAGTGCGGCTTACATGAGGCCGAGCCCACAACACAATAGTAATAATAATAATAACAACAATAATAATACTTTATTTCTACCCCACTACCATCTCCCAAGGGACTCGGTGCGACTTACATGAGGCCGAGCCCACAATACATCAATAATGAAAAGAATAGCAACAAGTAATACAAAACAATAAAAATAAAACTCATAACAGAAAATAAGCAATAAACATTAACAGGAACACAACGACGTTTAAAAACCTATGGCTGGGCCAAATGTAATAATTAAAAATTTAAAATTATGCTGAGCATGAACAGGTGAAATATGACTAGGATAGAGTTATACCTTGCTTTTTTCTCCCCACAAAGGAGACTCAAAGCGGCCGAAGGCGGCCCTGGTGGACCGTGTTTGTGGGCCACCTTTGAGTCGGTCCCTTTGAGCACCAGATCACGGGGGTCCTGGGGGGGGGGGGGGCTGTGTCCTTGGTTGCCCTCTCACCTTGAGGTCATTGGAGGAGATGGGAGGGGGCTGGGGAGAAAAGGGGAGCACAGTCAGTGGGGCAGGGGTTGGGGGGGGGGCTGGCATTCTTCCCAGGTGGCGTCCCACATTTCCATTGGCAGCGGAGGAATGGTTTGTGTGCTTCTGAGAAACGGCGCAGCCCTTCCTTGGCCCGGAGAGGCCTTTGCGCTTGGCCCAGGTCCAGGCTGGCGCTCCCTTTGAAGCCAGGGACTCTCTCCCTCTGCTTGCGAGAGGAGATGTGGGAGGTGCCTGTGGCAGAGAAACCTCTCTCAGAATTAATGTTTACAAAGCTCAGTTGGTGCTAGACCTTTGGTACCTTTGAATCATTTGAAAGATTATTTATAATTGATTGTATATGTGTTGTCAAAGGCTCTCATGGCTGGAATCACTGGGTTGTTGTAGGTTTTTCGGGCTGTATGGCCATGTTCTAGAAGCATTCTCTCCTGACGTTTCACCTGCACCTGTGGAGCCCCCAGTGGCACAGTGGTCTAAACCCTTGTACCGGCAGGACCGAAGACCGACAGGTCGCAGGTTCGAATCCGGGGAGAGCGCGGGTGAGCTCACTCTGTCAGTTCCAACTCCTCGTGCGGGGACATGAGAGAAGCCTCTCACGAGGATGATAAAACATCAAATCATCCGAGTGTTCCCTGGGCAAGGTCATTGCAGACAGCCAATTCTCTCACACCAGAAGCGACTTGCAGTTTCTCAAGTTGCTCCTGACATGAGAAAAAAAATTATTATATTATATTATTATATTATATTATATTATTATATTATATTATATTATATTATATTATATTATATTATATTATATTATATTATATTATATTATATTATATTATATTGGTCCCCTGGGCAACATCCTTGCTGACCGCTAATTCTCTCATACCAGAAGCGACTTGCAGTTTCTCAAGTTGCTCCTGACATGAGAAAAAAAATTATTATATTATATTATAATATTATATTATATTATATTATATTATATTATATTATATTATATTATATTATTATATTATATTATATTATATTATATTATATTATATTATATTATATTATATTATAATGGTCCCCTGGGCAACATCCTTGCTGACCGCTAATTCTCTCATACCAGAAGCGACTTGCAGTTTCTCAAGTCTCTCCTGATATGACAAAAAAAAAAAATAAAGCCCTGCATTTATTTATTTATTTATTTATACGCTTATATACCACTAATATCTCAGCCTAAGTCGGCGACTCATTGCGGTTTACAACAATTAAAAAACAGTATTCAATTTAAAACATAAAACACATATACAATACAAATTATTGGGCCACCAATAATAATCCCATGCATCTCGTAACTAAAATCACAATCCAAAATTCGTCGTCCATGATTACCAGTCCTTTAGTCATCAATTCGTTGCAACGGATTAACCGAATGCTTGTTTAAACATCCATGTCTTCAATCTCTTCCGAAACACCATCAGCGAGGAGGCTGATCGTACCTCTATAGGGAGGGTGTTCCAAAGCCTCTGAGGATGCCTGCCACAGATGCAGGCGAAACGTCAGGAGAGAATGCTTCTAGAACATGGTCATACAGCCTGAGAAAACCTACAACCCAGTGATCTGTATATCTTTTTACAGTTCTAATGTTGTGTGTTATTGTTATTGTTGGAATCTGGCATTGAATCATTGCCATAGATTGTAAGTCACACTGAGTGTCATCCCACTTGGGGGGGGGGGGTTAGAAGGGTGGGGTATGAGTACAGTCAATCAATCAATCAATAGAAAGGGGGTTGGGGTTGGGGTGGGCAGGAAGGCTGTTGAGGCCCAAGCTGGGCCACCTTCCCTGGGCCCCCCATGATAATACCCAGGAGGAGCTCTCTGGTCGGGACGCGAGGACCAGCCAGGCGCACTCCCTTTGGCCCTGGATCCAGGAGGGTATCCCCCCCCCCCACTCATAATGGGGTCTCTCTGCCCGCCTTCCTCTGGGCATCCTGGCTGCTCTGGCCATTGTGCCTGCCTCCTTGCTTGACCGTGCACCATCAGGCCCTGCATGAGGACGCCCAGCACTCTCTTGCCGTCCGCAGAAGACTGACCGCCTGCCCTCCTTGCCCTGCATCGTTCCCCTCTCCCTCCCTCTCTCCCAGCCCCTCCCTCTCCTTCCAGTGCTGTGCTGGGGGGAACTCCTCTGCGCATGGTGCCCCTTGCACAGCCTCTCTGCCCACCTGGACCTGGCCCAGTGGCCTCCTTCCTCTCTGTGAGACTGACCGGCCTGCCTCCCGCTCCCAGCATGCCCAGCGCCCTCCTTCTTGGCCAGGACCACATTCCTTCCCTTCCCTTCCCTTCCCTTCCCTTCCCTCACTCCTGATGACTAACACAGTAGCTGCAAGCAGGGTTCCCACAGAGCCACCTGAGTCTCGGCCTCCTCACCCTCCTGGTCACCTGGTTGGTGGCTTTCGCCGTCCCAGGTGCAGCCACTGTGAGCCACCAGTGGCATTCGTATCACCCTGGCTGCTGCCACGGCTTCTGCTACTAATGTTTTGCTTTTGCAGCCTGCTTCTGCCACTTGACCATGCACCCCTCCCTCCAATAAGCATTGCTCTTGAGGAGGCGGCCCCCTCCCACACTGACACCAGGAGAAAGAGGAGCTCAGGGAGGGGGGGAGCGCCGGGATTGTGGCGCAGCTGGCTGAGTGTCAGCTGCATTAAGATCACTCTGACCAAAAAGGTCATGAGTTCGAAGCCAGCCCAGGTTGGAGTTGTGTGTAGCCTGTTGTCGACCTTTGCAACCCGAAAGACAGTTGCATCTGTCAAGTAGGAAAATTAGGTGCCACCTTAAAAGTGTGGGGAGGCTAAATTAACTGATTTATGAGGCCATAAAGAAGACTCCAGCAGGGAGCATGTGGGAATGCGGAAGTGCTTCATCAGTGTCGCAGATGGACGATGAAAGCGACAGCTCCCCTGGCGGCCAGAAAAAAGTTAAATAGCCTCTGTCTATGTCTGTATATGTTTGCATGTCAAAAATTGGCATTGAATGTTTGCCATATATGTGTACACTAATCCGCCCCGAGTCCCCTGCGGGGTGAGGAGAAGGGCGGAATAGAAAAGCTGTAAATATATAAATAATATAAATAAATATCGGGCCGCTTTGCTACTGGGCCCTTTGCTACTGGGACCACCAGCCTTTGCAGGAGGGACTTGCCAACCCAGGCAGGCTGGCTCAAGGGAGATTTGGGCAGCGAGGGAAGCGAAGAAGAGGGGGGGGGGGTCCTGAGACCACCTTCTCTGGTTGTGGGCAGGTGGGCTGGGAAGAGGAAGGCTTCAGCTGCAGAGGGTGCCTTTCTTGGAGCCCCCCCCCCCCAATTGAGAGCCCCTTTCAGCCATAGGAGGAGCAGGGCTTGGCCCATGCGACTCACCTCCTCGGCTCTTTTGGGCCAGGGCAGGAATGGGGTGGTGGTCCAAAGCAGTGGGGCGGTGCTGGCTCTCCTTCCTTTCCCTTCCCTTCCCTTCCTTCCCCTCCCTCCTTCTTCCTGGAGCCCCCCCCCCTTCTGCCGCCTCCAGCCCCTTTGCTGCCTTCTTGGGGCCCTTGGTGCTTCTTGGGGCCCCTGCGAGGGCGGAGGTCCAACCGCCTGTGTTTTGCTCCCTTCTCCCTTCTCTTCCCCAGCAGTCATTCAATGATAAGCGTAAAAAGAACCTCTTTTCCCGCAAGTTCCCCTTCTACAAGAACAAGGAGCAGAGTGAGCAGGAGACCAGTGACCTGGACCGTAAGTACGGAGGGGGGGCCTTGCGCCAGGCTGAGTGACCAACTGACCAAGTGACAAGTGAGGGCTTTCCTAGTGACCAGTGGACGGACAGATGGACGGAGCGCGTTGCCTGCCTCAAAGGGGGCGGTTCCAAGAGATCCCTCAGGGGCGGGGGGGGGAAGGGAGGGAGGGAACCCCCCCCAAAACTGGACCATAAAATCAGGGAGGAGGGGACGAGGGATGGACATTGGCTTGATCTAAGGGACTCCCCCGGGCAGATGTTGACCCCCCCCTCCAAGAAGGAGGCTCTTGGAACCGCCTGCCTGGCTGTCGGCTGCCATCATCCTCATCATCATCACCCGCCGTTCCCCTCTGCATGACTGACGGTTGTTTTCTTTGTGATTGTCTCTTTATTGCTTGCCCCCTGGGAACTTCTCTGCAGGAGATCCCTGAAGACATGGGATCAAAAGGCCTGAGTAAGTGACCCCTCTCCGACCCCCCTGACCCCCAATGACCAACCCCTGCCTCTCACTGCACTCGGAGGAGGAGGGGGGAGGGGGGCCTTGGACCCCCCCCTCCCTCCCCAATGGCCACCACCTGCCTGGCTTCCCGCTTTCCCTGGGCCTGGGGCCTTTCCCTCTCTTTGGGCCTTTTGCGAGGGGCCTGGGCCCCCTTCTGCCCCCTCCCCACTCCCCACCAGCCCCTCAGGCCCACCTGCTTGCTGCTAAAGGCCAGCTTCACTGCTGCTCGGGTGTAGCGGTGGGGGCAGAAGGGGAGGTGGCCTGGAGCCTGGGATTGAAGGTGTGGTGGGGAGGGGGGAGGAGGGGGAAGGGAAATGCTGGCAAGAACTAATGCACCTAACAACAACCGTAGGAGACAGTGTTCTCATACCCCGGGATTGCGGCATGGAGGGGGGGAGGTGTTCCACTAGCCGAGGGGCCCCCATAGAGGTCGTGGTGGGAAGGAGGAGATGCGGGAGAAGGAGACCCCGAATTCGGCCTAATTCGGACCACTTATCTAAATTAACTATTCCCAAAAGATCTCCTAAGGTAAATTGGTGTAACCAGGTGAGCGGGCCCTCCGGCTTGAAGGTGGTGTTGTTGAACGCCAGGTCTGTCAACGGAAAAACAACTTGGATCCAGGATTTAATCCTGGAGGAGCGGGCAGATCTGGCGTGCATCACGGAGACCTGGCTGGATGAAGCGGGGGGCGTAAACCTCTCCCAGCTTTGTCCTCCAGGCTTCTCCGTGCAACACCAACCAAGAGCCGGAGGACGGGGAGGCGGTGTCGCAGTGGTCTATAGAGATTCCATCCATCTAACCAGGGGCCCCATCCCGCAGACCACAAATTTTGAATGCGTCCACCTGAGGGTGGGTGACCGGGACAGAATAGGGATTCTGTTAGTGTACCGTCCACCTCGCTGCACTACAGTCTCCCTACCTGAGCTAGCGGGGGTGGTCTCGAGCCTGGCGTTGGAGTCCCAACGGCTTCTTGTGCTGGGGGACTTCAACATCCACGCCGAGGCAACCCTCACAGGTGCGGCTCAGGACTTCATGTCCGCCATGGCAACCATGGGGCTGTCCCAACAAATAACTGGCCCCACCCACTGTGCTGGACATACATTGGACTTGGTTTTCTGCCAGGGATGGGAGCAGGGTGGCGGTGTGGAGGAGTTGTCCATCTCTCCGTTGCCGTGGACCGACCACTTCCTGATTAGATTTAGACTCACTGCGCCCCCTAACCTCCGCAGGGTGGAGGACCCATTAAGATGGTCCGCCCCAGGAGGCTAATGGATCCGAATGGATTCCTGACGGCTCTTGGGGAGTTTCCCGTCACCTCGGTAGGTGCTCATGTCGAGGCCTTGGTCGCTCTCTGGAATGGGGAGATGACTAGGGCAATTGACATGATCGCTCCGGAACGTCCCCTCTCAAGTAACCGAGCTAAACCAGCCCCTTGGTTCACTGAGGAGCTGGCAGCGATGAAGCGAAAGAAGAGGGGTCTAGAGAGCGTGTGGCGTTCGGATCCAAGCGAGCCAAACCGAACACGGTTTGTGTCCTTTTTAAGGGCATATGCCGCGGCAATAAAAGCCGCAAAGAAAACTTTCTTTGCGGCCACTATTGCGTCTGCAAAAAACCGTCCGGCGGAGTTGTTTCGGATTGTCAGAGGTCTTTTAACTCCCACCTCAGGCGGGAGCCCTGACAATTCGGTCACGCGCTGTGAAGCGTTTGCTCGGTTCTTTGCAGACAAAGTCGCTTTGATCCGTTCTGGGCTGGACGCCACATTAAATGCAGTCTCTGTGGATGTGACACAAGCACCTGCTTGTCCGATTTTGTTGGATTCTTTTCAGTTTGTGAAACCCGAGGATGTGGACAAGGTGCTTGGAGGAATGAGAGCTCCCACATGCATCCTAGACCCCTGCCCATCCTGGCTTCTGAAGGAGGCCAGAGGGGGATTGGCCGAGTGGGTAACGGTGGTGGTTAATGCCTCCCTCCGGGAAGGCAAGATTCCAGCGAGCCTAAAACAGGCTGTTATAAAGCCGCTGTTGAAGAAACCATCACTGGACCCCACTAATTTGGACAACTTTCGGCCTGTTTCCAATCTTCCCTTCTTGGGCAAAGTCATGGAAAGCGTGGTGGCCTCACAACTCCAGGTATTCTTGAGAGACACGGATATTCTAGATCCAGCACAGTCTGGTTTCAGACCGGGACATGGTACTGAGACGGTCTTGGTCGCCTTAGTGGATGATCTGCGCCGGGAGCTAGACAGGGGGAGTGTGTCCCTGTTGGTGCTTCTGGACCTCTCAGCGGCCTTCGATACCGTCGACCACGGTATTCTTCTGGGGCGCCTTGCAGAGATGGGTCTCGGGGGCACTGCGCTGCAGTGGCTCCGATCATTTCTGGAGGGTCGTACCCAGAAGGTGTTATGGGGGGACTCCTGTTCAGCGCCACGGCCGTTGATCTGTGGCGTTCCTCAGGGTTCCATCTTGTCCCCCCTGCTGTTCAACATCTACATGAAGCCGCTGGGTGAGATCATCCGGAGTTTCGGGGTGCGGTGTCACCTGTACGCAGATGACGTCCAACTCTGTCACTCCTTTCCACCTGCTACTAAGGAGGCTGTCGAGGTCCTGAACCGGTGCCTGGCCGCTGTGATGGTCTGGATGAGGGCGAACAAACTGAAATTAAATCCAGACAAGACAGAGGTACTCCTGGTCAGTCGTAAGGCCGAGCAGGGTATAGGGTTACAGCCTGTGTTGGACGGGGTTACACTCCCCCTGAAGACGCAGGTTCGCAGCTTGGGTGTGACCCTGGATTCATCGCTGAGCCTGGAGCCCCAGGTTTCAGCGGTGACCAGGGGAGCATTTGCACAGCTTAGGCTCGTGCGCCAGCTGCGCCCGTACCTTGGGAAGTCTGACTTGGCCACGGTGGTACACGCTTGGTCACATCCCGCCTTGACTACTGCAACGCTCTCTACGTGGGGCTGCCCTTGAAGACGGCCCGGAAGCTTCAGCTAGTCCAACGCGCGGCAGCCATGTTATTAACAGGAGCAGGACGCAGAGAGCGTACAACGCCCCTGCTGGCCCAGCTCCACTGGCTGCCGATTTGCTACCGGGCCCAATTTAAGGTGCTGGTGTTAGCCTACAAAGCCCTAAACGGTTCCGGCCCAAAATACCTTGCAGACCGCATCTCGGCCTACGAGCCCACGAGGGCCTTGAGATCATCCGGGGAGGCTCTTCTCTCGGTCCCGCCTGCCTCGCAGGCACGTCTGGCGGGGACGAGAGAGAGGGCCTTCTCGGTGGTGGCCCCCCGGCTGTGGAACACCCTCCCTGTAAACTTAGACAGGCGCCCTCCCTTATGGCTTTCCGTAAGAGCCTAAACATGGCTCTTCGAGCAGGCCTTCAACTGAGTGTATCATTGGAACCGGAATGGACTATGACTACGAACTTGACTATGACCCCAGGATTAGACGAAGCGGATTTTTAGTATAAGTATATGTCGTAGTAGTAGTTTGTTATGTACTGTTATGATTTTGTATGCTGTCTTTCTATGTTGCTGTTCACCGCCACGAGTCGCCCTTAGGGCTGAGAGTGGCGGTCAATAAGTGCAAGAAATAAATAAATAAATAAATAAAGGCCAGCTTCATTGGCCCCCCTCAGTGCCTCCTCCCAAGGCCAGGCCCCCAACCCTCTCTGGCCGGCTTCTCGGTTGACCTTCCTTTGAGCGCCTACCTTGACCTGCAAAGGGGGGGGGGGGATTCCCTGGACAGAAGCAGGCCCTGCTCAGGACAACTGGCCCTCTTTCTATCTCATTCTGGGTTTTCCCTGCCCGGGGGACCAACGGGATTCCGGTCTCCATGCGAGCCCCCATGGGTGGGCCGTCCTTCACCATGCACAGGTTCTGGGGGGAGGCCCACCTTTGGAGGGGGTGGTCTCCTGTCTTCAAGGCAAGAGCTGTCCCAAAGGGAGAAAGTGCTGCCTATCATAAGAACCGTAGGATGGCCGCCCTGATGGTGGGAAACCCCCAGGATTTCAGCAGCTTTGGTTCCACAATTTTGGAGGAAGCGTAGATAGAATCCGAGAATCCTAGAGTTGGAGGAGGCCGGGTGGGCCATCATCATCCAGTCCAACCCCATTCTGCCCAGAAGCAGGACAACCACAATCAAAGCACCCCCGACAGATGGCCACCCATCCTCTGCTTCAAAGCCTCCAAAGAAGGAAGGAGCCTCCACCACACTCTCTCCGGGGCAGAGAGAGAGAGAGTTCCACTGGTGAACAGTTCTTCCTCATGTTCAGGTGGAATATCCTTGCTCCATTGCGTTGTGGTCTCCTGGGCAGCAGAAAACAAACGTGCTTCCTCCTCCCTGTGACTTCCTCCCTCTCCCCTCTGGGTCCCTGGCCCTCCTCCTGTCTCCCCTCAGCCTTCTCTTCTGCAGGCTAAACATGCCCAGGTCTTTCAGCCACTCCTCATAGGACTTGTTCTCCAGGCCCACGATCTTTTGAGTCGGCCTCTGGACACCTTCTAGCTTGGAGTCAACATCTCCCTGGAGTGAGTCCAGAGGAGGGCGACTCAAAGGATCAAAGGTCTGGAGAACAAGCCCTATGAAGAGCGGCCTCAAAGGCTGGGCACGTTCTGGGGAGAGTGGCCAAAAGCCAAGCCCTGTGGCCCCCTTCTCTTCTTGGCTTCTCTTTGTCCTGTGACATGTGCCCCCCCCCCCCAAGCTCTTGGGGTTGACCTGCCCTGATGCCACCCAAGACCACATTGCTGCCCCCCCCCCAGCCTTATGTGGCCCAGCCTGACCCCCCCTCCCCTCAAATGAAGAGGTCAATCTGCAGGCAGCGAGAGGGGGGTGGGCAAGGAGGCCTGGCCCCAATCTGTCCCACTCTTCTGGCTCTTGGGGTTGACCGGTCCCTGATGCCACCCAGGGCCACATTCCCCCCCCCCTCGGCCTGATGTGGCCCAACCTGACCCCCCCCCTGCCCAAATGAAGACGTCAAGCAGCAAGCAGTGAGAAGGGGGTGGGCCAAGGAGGCCTGACCCCAATCCGTCCCGCTCTTCTTTGCATTCTTGGTTCACCCCATCCAGAGTGGGTTGAGAAAGGAGTGCCCCCCCCCTTTCAGACTGGTTGTCTGACCAATAGAGGCTCCCTTCTCCACTCCTGGGGGCGGGGGGGGGGGGGGGCTCTTCCCTAACATGTTCAACTTCAGACAGCGAAGGCTTCTGGGGGAGCAGGATTGAGATCTACTGATTTCTATACAGAGGGGTCCTTGTGAGATACCTCCTCCCCATCACATTGTTGCTCTTGGTTGAGCCATATGTTGGCCCTTTTCTGGCCATCACCTCAAGTCCAAGTGGCTCCTCTGTGGCACCCCTGGGGGGCCCCCCACACAGCCCCTGGCCACGGCTCTTGGCTGCCACCAGAACCCCTCCCTTTCTTTTCCTGCCTTGATGGCTCCAGGCCCCCCTCTGAGCCTGATCCCAGGCTGAGGGCCCAGCAGTGGCCGTGGGCCCCCCCCCTCCCCTCCCCTCCCCTCCCCTCCCCCCCCCCATGCCCACCTGGAGCACTTCCTTCTGCGCTGCTGCCCATTTGCGCTGCTTCTTCTTCTTCTTCTTTGCCCTGGTCTCTCCGGGGCTTCCTTGCAGCCGCAGCCCAAGGGTCAGTCGAGAGCCCTCCGTACTGCCCTCTGACTTGGGCCAGTTTTGCTGCCAGGCCAGACGTCTTACCTGGCCTGACCCCTTGCCCGCCTCTTGTGTTTCCCCCTCAGAGCACGTGACCTCCAACGCCAGCGACAGCGAAAGCAGCTACCGTAAGTGGGACTCCCCCCCCCCCCGGAGACCCCCCTGCTCCCCTTCCAGGTCTTCTCCTTTGGGAAAACAGCCCCCTTCTCTCTCTCAGTCTTGGGCCCCCACAGGGTTTCTCTGGGAGGGACTGGGCCCCAGTAGTCGGCCCCTTGGAATGGTGTCTGTTGCCCGGGAGAGCCTCCCTGGCCTCTGACCCCCCCCTTTGCCCCCCCAGGTGGCCCCGAGGAGTACATCCTGTCCTACGAACCGGTCTCCCAGCAGGAAGGTGAGTGAGGAGGGGCCTCTCGGGCAAGGAAAGCCGGGAAGGGGGCCTTCCACCCTTGCAGCCAACAGCCGAGGCCCCAATGACCTCTCTGTCTCTCTGTTGTCTGTCTGTCTGTCTGTGAGGGGGAATGTGGTGGTCCTCCAGGTGTTTTGCACGGCAACTCTTCACAGCTCTACACAATACAGCCAATGATGAGGAACGCTGGGCATTGCAGCCCAACGCCTGGAGGACCACACTCTTACAGTTCCCAACTCTTACAGTTATTTCTCTCAGTCTTATTTTGCCACAGGTCATGTGTGTGCATGTGTGTGTGTTGGGGGGGGGGGATTCCCACACAGAGCAGGCATATCTGCCTCCAGCATCGATCGGGGCTGGCAGGAGTTTGACCCCTGGGTGTCATCCAGTCAATTGTCAGGTTGGGATTGTCAAGACCCAGGTGGACCAACGAGGCAAAACAGCAGCTTAAGAGTTAACAGAAGGTCTTTAATGTCAAATTAACAGTTCAAAAGGCTCTTAACAGCAGAGCTAGTAAACAAAGGAGGCTGCGGCTGGCAGGAATGTAAACAAAGCCGCAGCCGGAGCTGCAGAAAGGAAAACTGGCAGACAGTTCGCAATAAACACAGAATAAAGACAGTCCAATAAATCACTAGGCAATAAACAGCATGAGGAGCGGTCCAACGATGTCACAGGAGATAGGCAGAAGCGAAGAATGGTCAAGACGGTCCAAGGGTCAGGGCAGGAGACAAGACTCACGATTCCAAGCCAGGCAAAGACGTCAGCACGATCACGAAGGCACGGTTCTGGATACAAGGACTCAAGGCAAGAGTTAGCATCAAGAAGCACAGGAACACAACACTTTGAACTCTGCAACAAGATGGACCCAAGGCTGCTCCCTAAATCCCATCAGAATCACTAGATTCCCCTCCAGGTGCCTCTAGTTCCACAGGTGAACTGCGTTCTCTCCACTGCTGCCAGTCTGCACTCCGAGCTGCATCCTGCGAAGCAGTATCCGAAACCCATGGGTCTGTGAATCCTTGGAACTCATCGCTGGAAGTTGGAGCATTAACCACATCCAAAACCTCCTGAACCCTGGTCCAGTCCAGCTCTTCATCCTCACTGTCAGACTCATCGCTATCTGCTACGTCTTTAAGACGCTTGGAAATGGATTCCTCATCACTGTCTGAGCTGCGTGCTACTCGCTTTACACCACGGTAATCCTCCACCTCCATTTCCTCACGAGTAAACCCCTGAAAGTCTTCCTCATCAGTAGACTCTAAGAACAAGTCCCTAATGCGCTTCAGCTGTTGCTGAGCCTCTTCCTCTTCCAAGCCTCGTTTCCTCCTACTAGCACTAGTAGATACATGAGGCACACGCTGAGTTACAACAGGGATAGGCTTAGTATATAGAAATATATATGTGTGTGTGTGTGTGTGTGTGTATTACTAGCCGTCCCCTGCCACGCGTTGCTGTGGCCCACATGGGGGTTCTGTGTGGGAGGTTTGGCCCAATTCTATCGGTGGCATTCAGAATGCTCTGTGATTGTAGGTGAACTATAAATCCCAGCAACTACAACTCCCAAATGACAAAATAATTTTTTTTTGAGTGATGGTCATCCATTGGCCTGATAGGTGTCTTTGTGTCCAAATTTGGTGTCAATTCCCCCAGTGGTTTATGAGTTCTGTTAATCCCACAAACGAACATTACATTTTTATTTATAGAGATAGATTATCATGATTATATTATTCCTATTCGAGTTTTTAAATATTTTACCCTGCACATGTGGCCCGCCCACTGTCACTGCGATTATTGCGTTTATTGGAATGCTGTTTTGTTATTGTATTCATATGTTCTTTTTATATAATTTTGATGCTGTTGCTCGTTGCTTATGTTTTGGTTTTATTTTGTTGTAATATGTTTGGGCTTGGCCTCATGTAAGCCACCCCAAGTCCCCGTTGAGGAGATGGTGGCGGGGCATAATTAAGATTATTGTTATTAATAATAATAATAATAATAATAATAATAATAATAATTCTAAGGTAGAGAGGAAGGATGGTAATACCTGGATTATTGGACTATTTGTTACTATTTTAATAATACTATGATATTATTATTTTTATTACTATTTATCATAATTATAATGAGTTACTTTCAAGCTGATATGGGTGGGATAAAAGTGACGTAAATACATTATATACACACACACACACATATTTGTGTGTGTGTGCCCACTTTCACTGGGCCTTGACCCAAAGTGAATGGAGTGGCCCTTGCAGAGAGGGCAAGGGACGAGGCCCAGCAGGGGGTGCTGTGGGGCAGTGGGGGGGGGGGTTGAGTTGGATTTGGGGGGGGGGGGGTCTCACCAGGGTGGTGACAGAAGAGGGTGCTGGAGGGGTGGGGGTGAAGGTTCCCATCTGAATGGAGCCCTGCTTGCTGAGGAGGACCTCCCCTTGGTGCCTGCGAGGGCCTTGGCTATATGCCCTCTGCTGCCCCTCTGAGCTGCTGCGGTGCTCCAGGCATAGAGAGGGCCCGTCCAGAAGGCCTGGCAGTGCCCTCCCTCCGACACAGAGAGCCCTGCCCAGAGAGACCCCCTGCCCGCCCCGACCTTTGACCCTGGGGCCGCTCCCTCTCTGAGCCCAGACTCTGTACCCCTTGACCCTGCAGTGAGTTACACGCGGCCGGTGATCATCCTGGGACCCATGAAGGACCGCATCAACGACGACCTCATCTCCGAGTTCCCTGACAAGTTTGGCTCCTGCGTCCCCCGTAAGTGGAGCAGAGGATTCTGGGGAGGGGGAGGCAAGGAGGGTCCTGCCCCAAGAGCCTGCAGAGCATGTTTACCCCACGGAGAGAGAGGAGAGGCACCAAGACCAGCAAACACAGGCAGCTGCGTGAAGTCACGGGCTGGGCCTCTTTGTGTGCGGGTCCAGCCAGTAACTGCGCTGCTTCCACAAGGCTGGGCGGAGGCACCCGACTGCCTTCCCCTTCCAGACCCCCCTCTCCACACACTAGTCCGTCCATTGCCTCCCCAGTGGAGGTGGAGGAGGCCACGGAGGGGAGCCTTCCTAGTGGGCGAGGGGCAGCCCAATGGGTGCCTCCACCCCAGCTTCCAAGGCTCTGGGGAGCCCTCCGTAACCCCTGCCCCCCTTCTCTCTCCTGTGGCAAAGACACCACGCGGCCAAAGCGGGAGTACGAGGTGGACGGTCGGGACTACCACTTTGTCACGTCCCGGGAGCAGATGGAGAAGGACATCCAGGACCACCGCTTCATTGAGGCCGGGCAGTACAACAACCACCTCTACGGGACAAGCGTCCAGTCCGTGCGGGAGGTGGCTGAGAAGGTACTTGAGCCCGGGGGTTGCTTGTGGGGAGGGCTTTGGGGGCTGGTGCCCATGGGAAGGAAGCAAGGGGCTGAGGAGGCTGCCTGTCTGGAGAGGAGGGGACTCTGGGCGGTCTTAAGCTCTGAAGAGGCTGAGGGATCCGGCCTGGTTCTGAGTGCCCCCCCCCCTGCGCAGGGCAAGCACTGCATCCTGGATGTCTCTGGAAACGCCATCAAGCGGCTGCAGATCGCCCAGCTGCACCCCGTCGCCATCTTCGTCAAACCCAAATCCGTGGAGAACATCATGTGAGTGGCAGCGAGAGGCTAGCGGCGCATTCCTTCCCCAAAAACGCTCCCTGTCACGCTCTCAGGCACTGCTTGAGGAGGGAGGGAGGGAGGGAGGGGTCCCAGGGATGAATGGATCCTATCCAGAGAAGACCTTTGCTTGCATCCTGGGAGGGGAGCTGTGAGGGTCTCTGTGGGGCCCCCACTCAGCCAGATTGCCCCGTGTCCCTTCAGGGAGATGAACAAGCGGCTGACGGACGAACAGGCGCGGAAGACGTCGGAGAGGGCCATGAAGCTGGAGCAGGAATTCACGGAGCATTTCACTGGTGGGTCACACCACCTCTCGGTCAGAAGGGGGGCGGGGCGCGCTTTCGTTATGAATAACAATAACTTTAAAGCATAGGTTCCTTTTACTGCAATTCTCCAGTAAGAGAAAGTGTGTCACAACATTTACAGAACTTTCACACAAAAAACAACATTGGACATGGAGACAGATTCTATGCAAATACATTGGATTCCCAGCCTACAGTTACATTGGCTCGCAAAAGGAAAACTACATTTTCATTCAGCATTCACACACATATATATTCATTCATCACCATGCAACCATCACCATTTCACCATTCTTCCTCTGCATGGTCCTGTGAAATGCACACAGATATGGGTTTCTGCGCCTGCGCAGACCGTTTTGGAACTTTCTGGAATTTAAAAGATACTTTTTGATGGTAGCCCCGCCCATTCTCCCCTGATAATATAAATACCCCGTAGGCGGGGCTGCCGCTCCAGTTCTTTCTTTCCGCCGCAAGCAGCAAGTTAGGAAACACCAAAATGCATCCTTTCCCTAAGGATGCCAAGAATCAGATCCCTGTTTTCCATACAGCAGAACCTGACTTCCTTGCAAATCCAAAACTCCAAAATCACACTCTGTTGAGATTAACTTCACAATTCAGCAGCAGATCAGTTGCACAACTTCAGCGCTTTCCAGTAGCTTCTTCCTGCACAGTATTTTCAGTCAACTGCTCCCACAAACTGCAGTCACTCTGGAAACTTTTACAGACACTTGAGCACATGCCCGGCCATTGTCAGTTTTACCACTGTCTTTCCCCCAGTCTAGATGACACTACAAACTTACCACAGCACACGGTTATATCTTGTCTTAGCAGACAGGTTATTTTAATTACATATAGCCTTCGACGAACAACATTACAGCACAAGGAGAGAAGTATATACTGTACATGACTTCCTTATATACAATTCTATATAATTACACATAACAATCTCTGATTGGTTCCCAACTCATTAACTTAACTCAGACCCAGGATTGCATCATTCACAATCACCTGGACTAGGCCAGAACACATTCCCCAAATGATTCCCTATATACAGTGAATGCATGACTCAGCATTTCTAATAGAAGCCCATTAGCAGTGCATGACTCAGCTATATTACATTACAATCCATTGTAAAACCTTCCTCTTCCCTTGAGAAAAAGGCATACACCATCTCTTTTCCTAGAGCATGGCGGGTGAGCCAGACTCCTTTGGTTTGCCACAATTCTGGAATGTTAGAAGGTCCGTTACATAGTAGTATTTCTTCTGATGTTGTCCCTAAAAGCTGTAAATTAATGGTAGGTTTCTGGGCCAGGCTGAGGCATGTTGAGTCCATCTCAGTTTCCCGACAGATGTTGACTCTCCTTAATTGGTGTTGACTTCCTTCTTAAAAGAGCCATCGCCTCTGATTAATGTAAACACAATGTTTTCCCCCAAAAGTCGAACAGTTAACCATTTGTCACATAGTAATTTACGATGGCAGGTCAACCATTTCAGTTCTCATTAGCAACTTGAATGGTGTCTTCAACCAAATTAGGCCCCATTAATTCACCTTTCATGCCATTCATTCAAACCAGATATCATATTTCATCGTGACAATTTGGGGGGAGTGGGGCTGTTGTGCATACTGTCTAAACCAGGCTTTTTTTATTACAATTCTCAAAGTGAAGAAGGGAAACAGAAATTTTACACTTCTATACTAAGAACGACATTGGACAGACAGATTCTGTGTGTCTGCATTGGATTCACAAACCACTTACAGTTACATTGGCCAACAAATAAACAAAGGAGGGTTTTAGTTTTACTGAGCATTCACACCACATATACACGCATCCACTTTCATGCATCCAAATATTATGATATCCTTGGAGAAGCACACCTGTTAGGCCACACCCTGCTTCCCTGCAGCCTGCCAACACACACTTCCAAAACTTCCACAACACTTCCAAAACTTTCTGGTCAGCAAATATTGACAGATGTAAAGTGATGGAAACGTTTCTCTTGTCACTGTCACAGTTCTTAACACAGTTTACTTTTTCAGTTCTCATTAGCAACTTTTAATTACAGTCCAGCAAGCAGTTTTAGTCATTGCAGGCCTTAATATTATAGAATGGTGTCTTCAAAGTTATTCGCTCTTATACCTTCACCTTTCATACAATTCCACTCAAACCCACACATATCAAAACCACATTTATCAGATCTGCACATCATATTTCTTGTGACGGGGGGGGGGGGGGGGGGGGGCCCCTCACAGGCCACCTTTTTCAGATCCAAGGGAACTGGGCTCCTTGGAGGAGGGCGGACCTGTCCTGTGCGGCCTTGGGGTCTCTTTGGGGGGGGGTCAGGGCTGCCTGGGGGGCCCTGTCTCTGCATTGGGGTGTGTGGTTTAATATAGGGAGGAGGCACTGGTTCTGTTGGTGAGCATGGAGGTTTCTGGGGTGGAGGGAAGGCCGGCATCTCCTCTCTTGTAGTTTGAAGCCATTGTTCTACGTCCACAACACTTCCAAAACGTTCTGGTCAGCAAATATTGACAGATGTAAGCAGATGTAAATATTTCTCTTATCACTGTCACAGTTCTTACCCACAGTTTACTTTTTCAGTTCTCATTAGCAACTTTTAATTACAGTCCAGCAAGCAGTTTTAGTCAGTTTACTTTTTCAGTTCTCGTTAGCAACTTTTAATTACAGTCCAGCAAGCAGTTTTAGTCAGTTTACTTTTTCAGTTCTCGTTAGCAACTTTTAATTACAGTCCAGCAAGCAGTTTTAGTCAGTTTACTTTTTCAGTTCTCGTTAGCAACTTTTAATTACAGTCCAGCAAGCAGTTTTAGTCAGTTTACTTTTTCAGTTCTCGTTAGCAACTTTTAATTACAGTCCAGCAAGCAGTTTTAGTCAGTTTACTTTTTCAGTTCTTGTTAGCAACTTCAGTTCTCGTTAGCAACTTTTAATTACAGTCCAGCAAGCAGTTTTAGTCAGTTTACTTTTTCAGTTCTTGTTAGCAACTTCAGTTCTCGTTAGCAACTTTTAATTACAGTCCAGCAAGCAGTTTTAGTCAGTTTACTTTTTCAGTTCTCGTTAACAACTTTTAATTACAGTCCAGTTTTAGTCATCACAGGTCTTAATATTTTAGAATGGTGTCACCAAAATTATTTGCTTTCTACCTTACATACAATTCAATTCAAACCCACATTTATCAGATCTGCACAGCACATTTCTTGTGACAGGGAGGGTCACAGGCCGCCCTCCCCAGACCCAAGGGAACTGGCTCCTGGGGGGGGGGGGGGGGAGACAGGCCTGTGTGGACTTAGGGGTCAGGACTCCCTGTCTCTACATTGGGGAGTGTGGTTTAATATGGGGAGGAGGCACTGGTTCTGTTGGTGAGCATGGAGGTTTCTGGGGTGGCCCCCTGGGCAGAGTGGGTCACAGGGGGGCTGTTGGGGGGCCCTGACGATGCTTGATGCCTTCTCTCTCTCTCTGTCCCCCGCAGCCATTGTCCAGGGCGACACCTTGGAGGAGATCTACGACCGGGTCAAGGCGGTCATTGAGGAGCACTCCGGCCCCTGCATCTGGGTCCCGGCCAAGGAGAAGCTCTGAGGGGGTGCCACTGCCACGCCCCCCCACCCAGCGCCAGACTGCCTCTCTCTCTCTCTCTCTCTCTCTCTCTTTCCTGCCCAGAGAGTGAATGGGCCAATGAGCAGGTGCCCTTGCTGCCCCCCCCCCTGGAAGCACCTGCTCCTCCTCCTCCTCCTACCCCCCCCATCCATCTCCGCCCCCTTTGGTGCCCCTTTCCTGCCGTCCGGAGCCTGCCCCCCCAAAAGGGCATGTCAATGGGGGGGTCCCCTTTTTTCCCATGGGGGGGTCAGCGGTTGGGACCCGTTTTGGTGGGGGGGGAGGCGGGGCGCTGCATGGTAAAGTCCTTAATGTTTAAGGGAGTGCGGTGTCCTGGGGGGGGGGGGATTTTGAGGAAACAGAGCTTTATATTCGATGTCCTTTTTTTCTCTCTTGAGATTTCTTAACACGAATGAAAGACAAGTGGTCTTAACGAACCCATTTGTGAGCCATTTTGCACGCTTAACTTTACTCGCATGGTTTGGTCCGGGGGGGTCGGGGTCGGGGGTCGGGCTTCCCAGTTGCGTCGCGTTCTGTCCTCGGCCGCGGACCTGCTTGACGGGCCACCCATTTGGGGGGGGGGGGGTCTTTCTCATGCGTCCGACTCGATGTCTGCGTGACTGGCGTTGTTTCATAAGGGAAGGCTCATTTTCATAAGGGTTTCATAAGGATATCCTTTATAGTCTATTTTTCCATGTTTTGTGATGCCATTGCATTGCCCCGGGGAGGGGGGGGAGAAGGCCTCGTTCCCTCCCTCCCACCTCTGTGGAAGTGGGGGGCTCTTCCGGCAAACCCAGAGTGGTCGGTGCTCCGGAGTCGGGGGGGCGCCCCATTTCCCCCCAGGAGACAGGGGGGGGGCCGCCCCCCCCCCCCCCCCCCCCCCCCGGGCGGGTGATGCGGGCTCTGAGCCGGAGCCTGGAAATATAAATATGTTCCTAGAGGTCAGATTTTAATGGATATTTTACCCACGATAATAACTGCCTATTTTGTTATAATGAAACATATTATATACATACATATATACATATATATAAATATAAATATATTAAACTTTCTTTAACTAAAGCCGCCGCTCTCTGGGAATTATTTCACGCGTCCAAACGCACGCTTGGGGTCGGCGGTTTTGGAAGAGGGTGGGGCTGAGCTTGGAACAAGACTGACAACACGGATTTCAAGGATGAACGTAAGATACTACACTTTACGGCAGAAGGAATGAAATGTAAAGGATGGGTGTGCTGTCGCACGCTGGGCCTGTGCATAAGACTGTAGACAGGACATAAATTCCGTGTGCCCAACGGGATGCCGGGGCTGCCTCAGATTAAAGGCCCTTGGATTTCCTTACACAAAGTTCTGTAGAGGCTTAAAGTAAGTCCAACAAAGTTCTTTATTGATGAAAACAAACAGGGACTTTAAAGCTTTCTTAACAGTCTATTGCAGCGTTTCTCAACCTGGGGGTCAGGACCCCTGGGGGGGTCGCGAGGGGGTGCCAGAGGGGTCACCAAAGACCCATCAGAAAGGTGGAAGGTGAACTACATCTCCCCTAAATCAGTGTAAATTCATCCCAAATCCCTCCAGTACATTCTGTTGGTCGTGGGGGTTCTGTGTTGGAAGTTTGGACCAATTCTATCGTTGGTGGGGTTCAAAGGACTCTTTGATTGTAGGTGAACTATACATCTCAGCAACTACAACTCCCAAATACAAAGCTTTAATTTCCCCAAACTCCACCAGTGTTCACATTTGGGCATATTGAGTATTCGTGTGAAGGTTGGTCCAGATCTATTATTGTTTGAGTCCACAGTGCTCCTTGGATGTAGGTGAACTACAACTCCCAAACTCAAGGTCAATGCCCACCAAACCCTTCCAATATTTTCTGTTCGGCATGGGAGTACTGTCTGCCAAAATTGGTTCAATGCCATCGTTGGTGGAGTTCAGAATGCTCTTTGATTGTAGGTAAACTATAACTCCCACCAACTACAACACCCAAATGACAAAATCAGGCCCCCCACCCCACTCCACCAGTATTCAAATGTGGGCATATTGGGCATTTGTGCCAAATTTGATCCACTGAATTAAAATATACCTTACATATCGGTTATTTGCATGATGATTCCTAACAGTAACAAAACTGCAGTTATGAAGTAGCAACAAAAATAATTTCATGGTTGGGGGTCAGCACAACATATAGAACTGTATTAAGGGGTCACGGCATCAGAAAGGTTGAGAACCACTGGTCGATTGGCTCTTTCTCAAGCTTGTCCACAGGGAACAGGCACTATCTTCTTAACTGTAATTAACTAATGGGGAAATCCTTAACTTCTAATCTGGGCAGTCTGTCTTTGCCTCTGTTGGCGTGGAGCCCCTGCACCCGGTACCAACTGCGTCGGGCTTCCGCAAGCGACCCTTGCCAAGCAGAGCTTTGTAGACTTCCAGGGAAAAAGGAGTTCAGGTTTCGGTGATTGCTGTCTGAAGTCCCTCAGCGAAGGAGCTGTAAGGTTGTATGATCCTTGGCCAAGCTGTGGGCTGTATAACCCCAGCCAAGCTGTAGAAGACGAAGCTTTCTACAGGAGCTCTTGGTATTATGTCCTGCATGGAAAGCTTCTCTGTGTGGACTGAACCAAAAAGGCTCCTATTCCCTCCAAAAACCCAAAAGGGGGTGGGACCAGGGAACCTAACTATAATTGACAGGTGGCTTGCCCTATGATTGCAGCCAAAAGAAGCCACCTATCTGCAGAGTTCCTGAAACTTAGGACTACAACAAACATTCAGTGCAAAGCAAACAAAATAGGAGCTCCTGGTACAGTTGTACCTCAACAATGGGAGAGGCCTCGCTCCACAACAGTCCATAGAAAAGAATCCTAGAGTCCAAGAGTTGGAAGAGACCTCCTGGGCCATTATCCAGTCCAACCCCATTCTGCCAAGAAGCAGGAATATTGCATTCAAAGCACCCCTGACAGATGGCCATCCAGCCTCTGTTTAAAAGCTTCCAAAGAAGGAGCCTCCACCACGCTCCGGGGCAGAGAGTTCCACTGCTGAACAGCTCTCACAGTCAGGAAGTTCTTCCTCATGTTCAGATGGAATCTCCTCTCTTGTAGTTTGAAGCCATTGTTCCTGCGTCCTAGTCTCCATGGAAGCAGAAAACAAGCTTGCTCCCTCCTCCTCCCTGTGGCTTCCTCTCACATATTTATCCATGGCCCTCATCATATCTCCTCCAGCCTTCTCTTCTTCAGGCTAAACATGCCCAGCTCCTTAAGCCACTCCTCATAGGGCTTGACTCTTAAGCCGGAAGGTGTCCAAGGTCTGGAGATGAAAGGTCTGGAGACCATGAATCAAGAGGAGCGCCTTCAAGATCTGGGCCTGTTCAACCTGCAGAAGGGAAGGTGGAGAGAAGGCACCAGAGGAGTCCTGTATAAATATGGGAAAGGCTGTCAGAATGAAGAGGGAGGGGGCTTCCTTCCTGCTGCCCTGGAGACTAGGACGCAATGGAGCCATGGGTTCAAATGACAGGGAAGGAAGGAGATTCCACCTGAACAAGAGGAAGGACTTCCTGACTGAGAGAGAGAGCTGTTCAGAAGTGGAACTCTCTGCTTTGGAAGTGTGGTGGAGGATCCTTCTTTGGGAGCTTTGAAACAGAAACTGGATGGTCATCAGCAGGCATGTAGCCAAGGGGTGGGATTGAGGGACTTCAGCCCTCCCAAAAAATTCTCAGGGTGGTCTGCGAGAAGGCCTTCCTGGTGCATTATTCAAACTGTTATGTTAATTCCTATCATGATCTGATCACCATGCTCAATATATCCCATATGCATGATGGGGGTATTATTGGGGTCATGATACAAAAGGAGATTCCACCTGAACAAGAGGAAGGACTTCCTGACTGAGAGAGAGAGCTGTTCAGCAGTGGAACTCTCTGCTCCAGAAGTGTGGTGGAGGCTCCTTCTAGGGTAGGGTAGACCCTCTTTCATTCAGACTCAGCCCCCCCCCCCAAATCAAACTCAGCCCCTCCCAAATTGAAATCCTGGCTGCAGGCCTGGTCATCAGTTGAGGGGGCTTTGAATGTGCTTTTCCTGCTTCTTGGCAGAATGGGGTTGACTGGATGGCCCACCAGGTCTCTTCCAACTCTAGGATTCTAAGTAGAGGTTGGAGAAGTGGTGCTCAACCTGGATGCCCACCTGTTGGGGGTGCTTTGATGGTGCTTTTCCTGCATGGCAGAAAGGGGGGTGGGAGTGGGTGGCCCCAGGGGTCTCTCCTAACTCTAGGAGTCTATGAATGCCAAGAGGGCGCTGGGTGCCTGGCCCTGCCCCCAGGTCCAAATGGGAGGACCTGGCCCTCTTCTCCCTTCCTTCCTTCCTTCCTTCCTTCCTTCCTTCCTGAGGGGCCTCCTTTGCGGAGGGAGAGAGTGTCCGGCAGGATCATCAAGTTTGCAGACGGGACCAAATTGGGAGGGATAGCCAATACTCCAGAGGACAGGAGCAGGATTCAAAACGATCTTGACAGATTACAGAGATGGGCCAAAGCTAACACAATGAAGTTCAACAGGGACAAATGCAAGATACTCCACTTTGGCAGGAAAAACGAAATGCTAAGATACAGAATGGGGGACGATGAGGCCTGGCTCAAGAGCAGGACATGTGAAAAAGATCTTGGAGTCCTCGTGGGGAGGAAGGTAAACAAGAGCCAATAATGTGATGTGGCAGCAAAAAGCCAATGGGATTTTGGCCTGCATCAAGAGGAGCCTAGTGTCTAGATCTAGGGAAGTCATGCTCCCCATGCTCTATTCCGCTTTGGTTAGGCCACTTACCTGGAATATTGTGTCCAATTCTGGGCACCACAATTCAAGAGAGATATTGACAAGCTGGAATGTGTCCAGAGGAGGGCGACTAAAATGATCAAAGGTCTGGAGAACAAGCCCTATGAGGAGCGGCTTAAGGAGCTGGGCATGTTTAGCCTGAAGAAGAGAAGGCTGAGAGGAGACATGATGAGGGCCATGTATAAATATGTGAGAGGAAGTCCATGGAGGAGGAGGGAGCAAGCTTCCTTTCTGCTTCCCTGGAGACTAGGACGCAAGGGAACAATGGCTTCAAACTACAAGAGAGGAGATTCCATCTGAACATGAGGAAGAACTTCCTGACTGTGAGAGCTGTTCAGCAGTGGAACTCTCTGCCCTGGAGTGTGGTGGAGGCTCCTTCTTTGGAAGCTTTGAAACAGAGGCTGGATGGCCATCTGTCAGGGGTGCTTTGAATGCAATATTCCTGCTTCTTGGCAGAATGGGGTTGGACTGGATGATGGCCCAGGAGGTCTCTTCCAACTCTAGGATTCTATGATTCTAGGGTTCTGGGCTGCCTGGTTCCCTCTTTCCCGGGGAGGCTGTGCCTGTCCCCGGGCCCCTTGGCTGGGAAGAGGCCAGGTGGGCTCAGCCTCTTGGGAGGCAGGCCTGCAATGATGGAGAGAGAGGGGGGGTGGTCTTCTGAATGGGTCTCATAGAGACAGTCCCAACGGGGAGGGTCTTGCCAGAGTCTCCAGGGGTGGCGTGCCAGAAACGTCCCTTTCTCACGCTGAGTTATCCCTGTCAGTATTTCCTGGTGTCAACAGAATAGGCGCTGCTGCAACAATACACGTCCTACCACTTCCACATCGTTGGAAACGGGTTGCACACAATGCTGTCGTCTAGATTGAAGGACTGTCAAGCTTGGTGGCAGGTCTCACTTTTGTATTCTCTATCTATCTAAATAAAAATGTCATGTTCAATGTATTGTCGAAGGCTTTCATGGCCGGAATCACTGGGTTGTTGTGGGTTTTTTCGGGCTATATGGCCATGTTCTAGAGGCATTCTCCCTGATGAGACCATG